AATTGCTTCCTATTATTAAATTGCTAAGTAGCTGATTTGGAGGATATATACTAATCAGATTTGCTGTATTATTAAAGTCACCCATGATAAATAGTGCATAGTCTTCATAGTCTTCATATGACATAGAATGTATTATGTGATCTTGCCTGTCTAAGTCTATTGGCTTTTTTTTTTTTTTTGAGGGGTTTTTGCTGTAGGGCACATGTGTTTACCAGAAAGACAGAGAGAGACAGAGAGACAGAAAGTGAGAAATCACCCCCCAGGGGGGATGGCCATGCTGCAACCCCTTCTCCTCCATTCTCTTCTCGGGATCTTGGGCACGCACGCACACACGCCTGGCATGAGTTTTAAGCCACTGGGTCTGGGACACGAACCGCGGTTGACTACATGGGAGTCCAGTGACATAGCCATTACGCTAACTGCTGGTCCCTCCCTAATGGCTCATTTTTAAGATGGGAAAAATGATAGTGCCTGTATCACAGTGTCACTGTTACCCTTAGAGGAGATGAGAAAGCTCTTAAAAGAGTGCTTGGCATGCCCACATAAATAATGACATCCATTAATATTGTGGTTCTACCAATTCATCTCATAATTAGCTGATTTAATAAAAAGGAAGTTCTTCCCAAGGGAAGTTAAGGATGCTGGGGAAATACCTACCAATAACAACAAGCTATTTCTCTGACTCTGAGGCTGGCCTAACTATCCCAGATCTCTGGGGGTGCTGGGCAGTCTGTCCTGCAGAGGTGTTCAGTGGCCCTGTGCAGTGACAGCTCTATGGGCAAACAGGGAGCCTAACGAGGGAAGTGGCTCTCAGGCAAATGCTCCAAGTAGCTCACCCTCAAACCTAGTCACGGCATGTTGCTCTGAGTTCCTAATAAGTACGGAAAGCCAAATATAGCCGTGTCTAAAGGCACTTTATAAAAAATTGTCAGGCCTCTTGTGCTCTCAGGAGGCAAAATTTTGCAAATGGTATTACTAAGAGAAGTCAACAGAGTATGCTGTATTGTGCTGGAATAATGAGTGTTTTCTAACTAGGGGGCAGCATTTCAAATGCTAGATAGATTTTCCATTTCTATTCGTTCCAGACGGGAGGGGAGCAGCAGAGCGTCAGAGGGTAGTGAGGGGAGGTGCCCCCCCCTCAGCCCTCCATGCCTCTGATTGTTTGGGACAGGCTCACTGAGTTTTGATTTTGATCTATCCAGCCTGTCTTGTAGATCTAACCCTTGTCTGCTCTTAGTAACTCACATCCCCAGTTTCCCTGGGATTTCTCCTACATACCCGAGGGGCAGATGACTTGACGGAACTTAAGGAGCCCTGGTCTTCGGCCTAAACTGCTACCTGGTTGGGAAGAAGAGTTTAGTATTCACTTAGAATCACTGTTTGTTTTTAGAGTTTAGAGATCATTTATCCAAATCCTTCAGAAAATGGAGATTTAGTTAACTGGTTAAGGGAACTACCTGAGATCATACATCTACATGTCAAGTTTTTTAGTTCTCAGTCAAGTTTTCTGTTTTCTTTCAGTTGCAATACAGTTAAATAAGGATGCAGAGCCAGCAGGTGGCATAATGGTTAAAAAGGGGATGGATCCCACAGGGCTTGCCAAGGAGTTCAAGCTCTAGGCCTGGTGTCTTGAAAATCCTGCCAGGCATGTGTGGATATGCGTCCAAAATCCTGAGAGGAGAATGGAGGAGAAGGGATTGTGGTGTGGCCATCCCCCTGGGGGTGATTTTTTGCTTTCTGTCTCTCTCTCTTTCTCTCCAATGAGCATATACACCCGCTAGGAAAAAAATACATAAAGTAAATAAATAAAAATAAAGAAGGATAAGAGGCCCAGCTACACTGGCATAAGTAAGAAGGTACTGCTTGGGACCAGCAGATGGCATAATGATTATGTCACTGGACCCTCATGTAGTCAACTGTGGTTTGAGTCCCAGACCCAGGCCACATGCCAGGTACATGCGTGTGCGTACCCAAGATCTGGAGAGGAGAAGGGAAGGGATTTCCATGTGGCCATCTCCCCAACGAGTGATTTCTTGCTTTCTGTCCTTTCTGTCTCTTTCTCTCTGGTGAGCACACACACACTCTATAGCAAAAAATTTCTCTCAAAAAATAAATAAGTAAATAAATAAATAAAAGAGGGTACTGCTGCATGGGAGACCTGGGCCAATTCCCAGCACAACCTGAACAGGCCAGGCCAGCTGGTACAAGCCTGTGGGCCTAGCTCACTGAGAGGCTGGGGCAAGGGGATCGACCTGCAGTGAGACCCTGTTAGAAATCTCTCTTCTGCTTCCCCCTTGCTGTCTCTTTTCTGCTGGCATATCCTTGCTCTCTCCCCCTCATCATTTTTTTTTAAGATGAGCAATATAAGCCTCTTATAAGAAATTATAAGACTTTCTTGAGAGAGGTTATGGAGGATGAAAGTGTGGGCTCAGCAGTCGGATCACCTGGATTTGTATCTCTTCTGCCATGGAGGTTTATTCTTACATAAGCGCAGTCCCCACGCCCAGGGTTATGTGAGGACTGATGTGGGGAGGTGGTTACTGTCTTCGGTGCAGTGCATTGCACGCATGAGCTCTCGGTCACTATGTATGTTGTACAGAAAACTGCAGAACAACAAGCAGAAAACTGTGGGAAAAATAAGTTCCATAAATGTTTTGAACAAGTCCACTGTCACAAAAAAGAAAAAACAAATTCTTGCTTCCTCATTTTAAAAAAGAAAAAGGGGCCAGTCCCAGAGCCTAAAAGTGAACCACATGGGGTCAACCACAGTTGAAGTTCCAGCATGGAGGCTTAAAATACACATCTAATTGGCCAGCAGATAGCGTGGTAGTTGAGGCACTGACTGCCACATTGCTGACCATGGTTCAAGTCCCAGATCTGGTATCTTTACTTTCTCATTTTCCCTCTCTCTGTGGAATTAAAATAATAATAATAATAATAAATAAAAACAAATAAATAATTCATTAAAAAAAGAACTACACACCAGGTTTGTGTATGTGTGTTCATCCCAAATCCCAAGAGAATGGAAAAACAAGGAGAAAGGATTTTTGGCATGACTACATCTTGTTGTGAGGTGCCTTCTCTCTTTTTCTCTCTCTCTGTGAATCTCTCTGGTAACTGCGTGTGCTCTGAGAATCTCTCTGGTAACTGTATGTGCTCTCTAGCAATAAAAAAAAAGTATTCCTTTGAAAAAATATTGTAATTGTCTCTGAATCTTTTTCTTGATAGTTCTCAAAGAAATATAAAATTTAAGACATTTAAATTTTAAAATATTTTAAGTAGAGATGAGCTATTCCTATCTATGTAAGTAGCTATTTAAAAATTTAACTTGGTCAGCCTCTGGCCTGGTGGTTAAGGTAGCTGGATCTCACATGGCAAACCACCAGACCTGTGGGTTGAGAAACATGCCAGGCACATGGGCTTGTGTTTCCAAAATCCTGAAGAGAGAGGAATGGAGAAGAAGGGATTTCAGTGTGACCATTCCCCATAGTGGGTACTTTCTCTCTCTTTTTCTAACTCTCTCTGGAAGTGCATGCATTCTTTGGGGGTAATAAAAAGCATTATTGTCATGTCAGATTATTACAAATATTTGCATTTGTCTTTCCCACTATTTAAACATATGAAGTTTACATACGGTAAATTCAAATGTGAAAACACTGCGTTTCTCTAACACTTAAATTCTGTGATGTAGGTTAAGTCAAGGGGGAAGAAAACAATTCCTTATATAGTTCTTTCTATGAGGGAAAAAATGTACCAAATCACTGGAGAAAGTAAAGCTTTTCACTAGCACTTGGTATTTCAGAACGTGCCTACCTGGGGCTTCCTGCTGGGAAAACTGAGGTCTGGAGAAGACAGTGCCTTGGACAACCTCCCTAGAGTAACGTGCAGTAGAACATGTTCCATACTTACTTATAGGATTGTTGATGAAAGTCCATGGCAAATGCCACAATGTGACAGTGAAGACGGCTCGAGGATAAGACCACAGTCAAAATATACAACTTTCCTAAGGTCTGGCTTGATCTGAGAGTGGAAATCGAAACCCACATTCTAGTATGGAGGATTCTGTGTAAATGTTGTGTTGATGAATCTGGTAATCTAGAACAACTATATAGCAACACATAACTCACCTTGTGATCTGGGACAATTGTTTAACCGATGACAGAGTCCAATTATCTTCATCTCTAAAGATCTCTGATTTATGAAAATTTGGTTTTGGAGAAACATAATACTACATAGGTATAATCCTTAGTCAAATCTTAAGCAAGACTAAAGAATTACCATTGTGCAATGGTGATTTTCTGGCTGTCAATGGCTGTGTCAACGTACTAGTTGGCTGTGTCAACGGGCTGGCAGGTGGTGTGCGGTAGTTAACAACTTGACAACTGGGCAGTGATTCCAACTTATGGTTGACATAACTTATTTACAGTTGAAAGAGCTAATTCTATAATAAATTATTATTTTAGTACGAGCTTTGAGACATGTGACATTATCTACAATGACTGACTTGGCTTCTGTCAAAGCGAAGTGGGGCGTTCTCTCTGAATACTAGGAAGTTACTGCACTGATAGTCCTTTCTTCTCAAAGTCTTTTTAATGTCTGGGGCTGGCAGGTGGTGTGGTGGTTAAGGGTGCTGGACTCCCACATGGCCGACTGCGGTTTGAGTCCCTGACCTGGCAGCTTGCTTTCTCACTTTCTCTCTCTCTCTCACTCTGTCCCTCTCTGGTCAAATTAAAATATACAAATAAATAAAGATAAATAAAATAATTCTTTAAAAAAAAATCTTTTTAATGTCTGAAATTCTTGTGAATTCATTCTCAGCCTCCAACAGTAGTTTGAAGAATGACAACAGAGGTGTTGTCTTCAAGACCGTGTGTGTATTCACAGTACACCATAGTCTCTACGTTTCTGTCAGAGCTAAGGTCGTGTCAACTCTAGAGAGTTTGCAACTTGCCCTGGCGTCTGCACACAGAGCTCACGTCTGTGCTTGTTTCTGTTCCCAGGATGGTGCTGCTCCGCTGGTGTCTGCTGTGGTGGTTGTTACCACTCAGCTCCCGGACCCAGAAGTTACCCACTCGAGATGAGGAACTGTTTCAGATGCAGATCCGGGACAAGGCCTTTTTCCATGACTCCTCGGTAATTCCAGATGGAGCTGAAATTAGCAGTTACCTCTTCAGAGACACTCCTAAAAGGTATTCTCTCCTTACAGTGCCTTCTGTGTTGATAAGCTCAGAAAGGATGGTTCCAAAAAAAGAAAATAATCTTTTGGACGGACTTAGTGTAGATTGTTTTCCCATCAACCTAAATGTTAGAAAATAATCTTTTGGACTTAGTGTAGATTGTTTTCACATCAATCTAAATGTTACCTAATGTTTCTAATAACAATGGCAATGCAACTTCTCACCATTAAATAGAGGCTGTTTGATTCTTGCTGATTATAGTCCTTTGGGGTGAAGGAGACATTTCCTTGCATTTCTTACAGTTTGGAATAGCTATTTTCTTATTTGCAGGACTATAGAAAGTTTCTAAAATGGACTCTAAATGATTAAAATTAAATTAATTGCACATTTATGATTCTTCAAGGGTTTGCATTAAGTTTATTTGTGTGTGTGTGTGTACATTAAGGTTTTTTGTTGTTGTTTAGTTTTAGTTTTGCTATAGGGTGTGTGCGCTTACAGAGATGGAGAGAGAGTGAAAGTGAGAAGACACCCCCGAGAAGGGATGGCCATGCCACAGTCCCTTTCTCATTATCCTGTTGGGATTTTGGACACACATATACACACACCTGGCGTGCTTTTCAAACTACTGGATCTGGGACTCGAACCACACAGTAGGCCATGTGGAATCCAGCCACATTAACATCTGCACCACCTACTGGCCTTGTGCATTAAGTTTTAGAAGGATACTATTCCTGAAACAAGTTTGCTTGAACTCTGAGAGAATCGTACCAAACACCGACAAGTGACACTATTAATTTACCTTCACTCCCAAATCGACAAATTGTGCTCACATAATGTTATTAAATGTGTTTACCTTTACAATTTATATAATCATAAATAATATCTATACATAGATAGTGTTAAAAGAAAAATAAACCAGCCAATTTAATAGAGTTCTAATACAGCAAATCTTAACACAATTTAAATCAGGCAGTTGTCCCCAGATTTCCAAACAACTCTGGCCAGCCTCGTGGTTAACTTGGACTTTTAAATTGGCAGAACAGGAAAGTGAGGTGTAAAAGGCAAGTGCCCTACACAAAACATGAGGGAGTGAGGTAGAGAAATCATTGGTTCCATTCTGAAGGTTGTCTACATTAACATGGTTTAGAAGGTGGGATGCCTGTGATTGACTGAAGCCTAGTGGCTGTGATTGGCTGTAACTTAGCAACCAGCTCAAGAAAACAACCTAACGTGTACAATTTTGGCTTATCATAGAAATCAAAGTGTGAGTGCAGCAGCTGTTTTAGGCCAAAATGTTTTAATTTAACAATAGAAAACTAGCTATATTTAAAGTATTACTTACTTTGCAGTGCTTAACCCTCTCTACCTTAGTAAGAATAGAACACAGTTACTCCTTGGCTAATGATATTTCCAAAACACGTTCTCCTTTTAACCTGGAATGCATTGGCATTCCAAAGGGTGAAACTCTCCCACCATCAGGAATCTATTTTCCAAAGATTGAAGTGGATCCGATCATTTGATTATCTTTTCAATTTTTATCCACAACATTAATGTACAGTAGTACCATAAACCCCTCCACTGAGTACCCCAATCATATCACGATCTGGTCAGTCTGAATGATGGTCGGGAGTCAGTTTTCCTATTTTGATTGAAGTGAACCTTGTTCAGTATCATTTTGGCACTACCTAGGTAAAATTATTTGTCAGAACGCATGTAACAGACTAGGAACTGACTTGGGAGTAAAAAAATAAAACAACTCTGAATCTTTAAATGGCATTCCTACGAGTGAAAGCACAAAACGGAAGGATGATTACATTGAAGGAATTTGCTGTCGTAATCTTGGCGAAGACTGTCCATGAGAACAGGAAAAAATACACACAGCAGCCTTCACACTTCAGAACTCTCAAATATTACCCAACTTTTCAGTGACTACAGTTGGCTTTTCATATTGTTTTGTCCCTTGACGTCTTTGAATGAATCAAGTCAAATCAAAATTTTTCTTTAGAAATTACTTTCACTTCCCACTTAGTCTTTAAATTCAGTATTCCACATTATGTGATCATATCACTTAATCCTCTTTGGTCTTAGTTCATCCTCTTTGGTCTTTTAGTCTCTTTAAAATTGGGAATAAGTTTTAGTTTTAAATGTGATCTTAAAAATGACATTATAGAGGACCAGCAGGTGGCGCGGTGGTTAAGGTGCTGGACACTCCCACATGGCCAACCGTGGTTCCAGTCCTGGTCCTGGTGGCTTGCTTTCTCACTTTCCTTCTCTCGCTCTCTCTCTCTGTGTCTCTCTCTGGTCAAATTAAAATAAATGAATGAATAAATAAATTTTTTTTAAAAAATGACATTATAGAGTCAGCCAGTAGCATGGTGGTTAAGGCAACTGGATTCCATATGGCTGACTGTGAGGTTCAAGTTCCAGGTCTGTCAGCTTGAAAAATCTACTGGGTGTATGTGAGTACATGCCTAAAATCCTAAAAGGAAAATGGAGGAAAAGGAATTGTAGGTTTTTCTCTTTCTCTCTCTCTCTTTCCCTGCATTAAGTTTTAGAAGGATACTATTCCTGAAACAAGTTTGCTTGAACTCTGAGAGAATCGTACCAAACACCGACAAGTGACACTATTAATTTACCTTCACTCCCAAATCGACAAATTGTGCTCACATAATGTTATTAAATGTGTTTACCTTTACAATTTATATAATCATAAATAATATCTATACATAGATAGTGTTAAAAGAAAAATAAACCAGCCAATTTAATAGAGTTCTAACACAGCAAATCTTAACACAATTTAAATCAGGCAGTTGTCCCCAGATTTCCAAACAACTCTGGCCAGCCTCGTGGTTAACTTGGACTTTTAAATTGGCAGAACAGGAAAGTGAGGTGTAAAAGGCAAGTGCCCTACACAAAACATGAGGGAGTGAGGTAGAGAAATCATTGGTTCCATTCTGAAGGTTGTCTACATTAACATGGTTTAGAAGGTGGGATGCCTGTGATTGACTGAAGCCTAGTGGCTGTGATTGGCTGTAACTTAGCAACCAGCTCAGGAAAACAGCCTAACATGTACAATTTCGGCTTATCATAGAAATCAAAGTGTGAGTGCAGCAGCTGTTTTAGGCCAAAATGTTTTAATTTAACAATAGAAAACTAGCTATATTTAAAGTATTACTTACTTTGCAGTGCTTAACCCTCTCTACCTTAGTAAGAATAGAACACAGTTACTCCTTGGCTAATGATATTTCCAAAACACGTTCTCCTTTTAACCTGGAATGCATTGGCATTCCAAAGGGTGAAACTCTCCCACCATCAGGAATCTATTTTCCAAAGATTGAAGTGGATCCGATCATTTGATTATCTTTTCAATTTTTATCCACAACATTAATGTACAGTAGTACCATAAACCCCTCCACTGAGTACCCCAATCATATCACGATCTGGTCAGTCTGAATGATGGTCGGGAGTCAGTTTTCCTATTTTGATTGAAGTGAACCTTGTTCAGTATCATTTTGGCACTACCTAGGTAAAATTATTTGTCAGAACGCATGTAACAGACTAGGAACTGACTTGGGAGTAAAAAAATAAAACAACTCTGAATCTTTAAATGGCATTCCTACGAGTGAAAGCACAAAACGGAAGGATGATTACATTGAAGGAATTTGCTGTCGTAATCTTGGCGAAGACTGTCCATGAGAACAGGAAAAAATACACACAGCAGCCTTCACACTTCAGAACTCTCAAATATTACCCAACTTTTCAGTGACTACAGTTGGCTTTTCATATTGTTTTGTCCCTTGACGTCTTTGAATGAATCAAGTCAAATCAAAATTTTTCTTTAGAAATTACTTTCACTTCCCACTTAGTCTTTAAATTCAGTATTCCACATTATGTGATCATATCACTTAATCCTCTTTGGTCTTAGTTCATCCTCTTTGGTCTTTTAGTCTCTTTAAAATTGGGAATAAGTTTTAGTTTTAAATGTGATCTTAAAAATGACATTATAGAGGACCAGCAGGTGGCGCGGTGGTTAAGGTGCTGGACACTCCCACATGGCCAACCGTGGTTCCAGTCCTGGTCCTGGTGGCTTGCTTTCTCACTTTCCTTCTCTCGCTCTCTCTCTCTGTGTCTCTCTCTGGTCAAATTAAAATAAATGAATGAATAAATAAATTTTTTTTAAAAAATGACATTATAGAGTCAGCCAGTAGCATGGTGGTTAAGGCAACTGGATTCCATATGGCTGACTGTGAGGTTCAAGTTCCAGGTCTGGCAGCTTGAAAAATCTACTGGGTGTATGTGAGTACATGCCTAAAATCCTAAAAGGAAAATGGAGGAAAAGGAATTGTAGGTTTTTCTCTTTCTCTCTCTCTCTTTCCCTTTTTTTGATTTCTCTCTCTGGCAAGTTCACACTTTCTATAGCAACTTATTTTTAATAAGTTTTTTTTGTGTGTGTGTGAAAACATGATATTTTTGTTATGAGACAAAGCAGGACTTCTCTTTTTCTCCCTTCCTTTTTATTTCTTTTACTTATTCATTCTTTATTTTGTCTTTTTTTTTTCCACACAAATAATTACTGGGGAGAGAAGCTGATTTGGGGAAGAGAATCTAAAGTTTAATTAGATTTCTTAAGTTTGAAATTCCCTTACTATCTTAGTGAAGATGGCAAGAAAAATAGTAGTATCTGAATTTTAGATAAGAATTCAGGCTGATGATTTAAATTTGAGAGTTGTGGGCCAGGTGATGGCTCTGTAATAATGCAACTGGATTCACATGAAAAAGGTCCTGGGTTCACACCCTGGGGCCTCCCTGAGTTACCGGGCATGTGTGCTCCATCTGGACTGGCTGAGACTAGGGGTGGATCACAGCATTAAGACCGTATTTGGGGGGTAGCAAGGGGTGTGGTGGTTAGGGTGCTGAACTCCCACATGACTGATCATGGTTCGAGTTCCAGACCTGGAGGCTTCTTTCTCATGTTCCTTTTCTCTCTCTCTGTCTCTCTTTGGTCAAATTTAAAAAAATAATAATAAATAAAATAAGTAATTCTTTGAAAAAAAAAAAAACCTATAGGGGTGCCTGTCTCTCTCATTTAGAAATTACTTTTACTCCTGGGAACCAGCAGTTAGTGTAATGGCTATGTCGCTGGACTCCCACGTAGTTGACCGCAGTTCACGTCCCGGACCTGGTGGCTTAAAACTCACGCCGGACGCATATGTGTGCGTGCCCAAGATCCTGAGAGGAGAATGGAGGAGAAGGGATTGTGGCGTGACCATCCCCCCTAGGGGGCAATTTCTCACTTTGTGTCTCTATGTCTCTCTCTGTCTGTCTGGTGAGCACACGTGCCGTATAGCAAAAATCTCTCCAAAAAATTAAAAAAATATTTTTTTTAATTAAAAAAAAAAGAAATTACTTTCACTCTTTTCTCTCATAGAAAAAATAAATAAACATCAGGGAACTGTTAACATACACAAGGCAAAGCATGACCCTAGGTGAGGTTGCACAGGAAGTGAGTGTAGGTAAAAGAGATGTCCCAGCATGGCCCTGGTTTCCTCCAGAGCTTAGCCTTTGGGGAAGTGAGAAGGAACCGGTAGAGGACACTGATGCGTAGAGGCTATGGTGGTGTTGGAGAGCGTGTTGGTTGGGGATATGGAGAGAACAGGAAGGCAAAGGATTCCAGAAGGTACGATGTATAGCACATAGAACCTGCTTTCCTTCGCACAGAACCAGTGAGCAACTCTGGGCTTGCTAGAACCGAAACCACTGTTTCCTCATTGGCAAGACTCTAGGCTTTGGCAGGCATTACCTTTGAAGCCATCTAAGTCATTTGGAGTAAGACTACAAAGCATTTTTATAGTTAAGCAATATTTGCAATCTCTTTAAAAAGTCTTTTGAGACATCGTAAGAAAAGTGAGAGGGGAAAGTGTATAGCAACATGTTTTGATTTTTAAAATTTGGTTTTAAAATTAGTAAGTTATTGAATGAAAATCTTAGTGATGGGGAATGATAGAGCAGTATACCTCTCTATCGACTGACAGTGACCTTTACTTCTTAAAATTAGTTATCAAATGGTAATTAGATGCTCCTATTAAAAGAGGAATGAAATAGCAAAGCTGTGAATAAAAATTACTACTGCAAGGACCAGCAGATAGCATAATGGCTACGTTGCTGGACTCCCATGTAGTCAACTGCGGTTCACGTCCCAGACTTGGTGGCTTAACCTCAGGCCGGGTGCATGTGCATGCGTGCCCAACATCCCGAGAGGAGAATGAAGGAGAAGGGATTGTAGCATGGCCCTACCCCTGGGGGGTGATTTCCCACTTTCTGTCTCTCTATGTCTTTCTAGCGAGTGCACATGCCTGATAGCAAAAACCTCTCAAAAAAATTTAAAAAGTTACTACTGCAAAAATGTGACTGCAGTGTTATTTTGCCAGAGACCAACATATATTTTAGAATTAGGTCGCTGTGGCAGTGATCTGGAATACACTCATGCACCATGTAATGGCATTTCAGTCCATGATGAACCATGTATACATTGGTGTTCCCATGAGATTATACCATACAGCTTAGGTGCGTAGAAGGCTGAGCCACCTAGGTTTCTGTACGTTCATTCTATGATGTTCCCACAATGACAAAATTGCCTAACAATGCATTTCTCTTTCAGATCATTGTTTATAAGCAAGATGTGACTGTATATCATGGTGTGTTACTGTGAATCTCTTTCTCTGTTTAGAGAGGTCATATTAGGAGAAAGTAAGAAATCTCTCTCTCAGGGGGATGGCCACACCACAATCCCTTCTCCATTCTCCTCTCAGGATTTGGGCATGCACACACACATGCCTGGTGTGATTTTGAAGCCACTAGGTCCATGGTCAGCCATGGGGGAATCCAGCAACATAACCGCTATGCCATCTGCTGGCCCCAAGCTAGCATTTCACAGAATATGATGTATGACTGTAGGTGTCATTAGAGTGCCTTCAGGGTAATATATGACATTTTCACCCAATTTTTGGAAAACATAGCACCTGGAGGGCAAAATCTTATAAATTCACCTTGACTGTGACTTATTTTGCAAAGGCCAAACCTATGTTAAATAACACCCAAACAGGGAACCAGCAGTTAGCGTAATGGCTATGTCGCTGGACTCCCACGTAGTCGACCGTGGTTCGTGTCCCGGACCCGGTGGCTTAAAACTCACGCCGGGCGCGTGTGCGTGCGTGCCCAAGATCCCGAGAGGAGAATGGAGGAGAAGGGAGTGCAGCATGACCATCCCCCCTGGGGGGTGATTTCTCGCTTTCTGTCTCTATGTCTCTCTCTGTCTGTCTGGCGAGCGCACGCGCCCTACAGTGAAAATCTCTCCAAAAAATAAAAAAATAAAATAAAAATGTAACACCCAAACACAGGTAAGTGCTACCTTTAACTCAAAATTCTTCTGGTTCAACATCTTTTTTTATGATTTCAGTGTGTTTGTTAATAAGAAATCTGGTTACAGAATTTTGTAGCTGTTGGACTTCCATAGTTAATACTGTGTCACGTTTGATGTCAAGCAGCCACTATTGTTTTCTGCTAAATGAATAAAAATGAAAACAAGGGCCCGCTGGTGGTGTGGTGGTTAAGGCAGCTGGTTCCCACATGGCCGACTACATGGTTTGAGCTCTGGACCTAGCGGCTGAAAGACATGCCAGGCACGTGTGCATGAGTGCCCAAAATCCCACGAAGAGAGTGAAGGAGAAGGGACTGTGGCATGGCCATCCTCTCTGGGGGTTGCTTTCTCACCTTC